TTTATATAAATTATTAAAAATTTATATTAACAATGAAGACATCCATGCTAGACAGATATTAATTGTAACGAGGAATATTAAATTGAAATAGTAAAAGGAAAATGATAAGAAATTCTTAATCCCACTGGTTGAATTATACGTCGAATATTTTAGAGGCGATCGTTCATTATAATTTGTCACGTCATCTCAGGTAATCAAAATTCGGTGGCTCAGAAGGACATACGATTACGTCAAACAGGTAGTTCCTCCCTGAGGAATTGTTCGACCTCGGGATCGTCTCAGGACGTGCGGGACTCGATCTCTAGTCCACGGAGACCGGTCAGTTACACTACGCATTCCACGGTTACGCAGCTCCCTCAAAGGTACTTAATACACATCGACCTGACGTTATGTCTCATTAAATTTGTTTACTGAGAACGTCGTCTTTAATTTTTCATAATTCCCTCGTGTTCATTACGCGTTTCATTATAAAGTAAGAATTCAAGAATAAAAAGGTGTGGAGTTTTTTAATTAAAAAGTTTCATTATCTCAGAGATGGAATATCATTTCCGGGTTTAAACTTGAGAAACAAAACGACGATTCGTATCTTCTAGTTTAATGAATGAATGAATCAGAGATAAGGAGGTGGATTAATTAAGAAGTAATTAATTTTCAGAAGGTCCGTCCATTATCAGTCGACCGGTTCCCTGCACTCGGACAGTCCCAGTAGTAGCAGCATATCACCGGTGCCATCGCCCAGTCCCCGAGCCACGCCACTGCCAGTAGCCAGGTAAACCCATTGTCGAACTGCGTACTACGGTACGTCGTAACAGTAAGAATTATTTATTGGGTTTGACGAATTTCTCGTTCGTCGATAAATAATTTGTTGAGTATTTCAAAATATTGCGAACGGACAGTGCGTTTCGTAAGGTAGGTAAATGATTGTTTAGTGAAGTAGCGTACGAAACTGTTGATCGTTAGGAATTAAAAGAAGCCGCGGAACCGCAGAATGATGTTTCGCCGTCGCTGGTATAGTATAGCTTATAATCCTGTTATTTGATAGATCGCCGACGGCGAGATCGAACGGGCCGCCCCAGAGCAGCTTGAGAAGGGCGAAACGGTGGTCATCCACCGGGGATTTTACCCACTCTCCTCAAAATCAGGGGAACAATTCGCAGCTCGTCAGCAGCAGGTAAGGGAAAGGATCGAAGGATTAATAAAAAAAAAAAAAAAATGCAACATCGACTAGAATAGAATTCACCCTATATAGCTAGATTGCGAATTTTATGCGTTTATATAAAAATTCAATACGCTGAAATTATGAAATATAAAAAATTGCATGCGAGTCACAGTGACTAAATTTGTACATAATTAAATTGAGAGAATTATCATTACGCATAAGAATCCGCAGTTAAATCATAATTCTTTCATTCAGCTGTGAAAATAGATTTACATTGCAATTTATGTTTGAGCACAAATAAAAAGTCATCGAGTCAATCGTTCGTTCGTCTATGCTAATAATTATATTGTTCATTATCATTCCCCACTTCTTCTCGCTATATTCTAGCCACGCACAGTTTTTGTTCCGCACCGCATGTTTTTCGTTTTGCATTTTCGTTCATTGTAGATTGTCAGCCTCAACCAAGTCTCTGTTCAACCTCTTCAAGCCACCAACGATGACCAACGTGAAGCACGGGTAAATAAATAAGCAATGTACATTTCTCTTATTGAATAACAATTACTTCTACTACTGTGCAAATAACAGGGAAATCCTCTACACACGATTTTTTAATATCTCTTATATCGCTTCTATCGTGATTTTATAAAATAATATTAATGTTTCTCACATGCAATGTATTTGTTAATACAGGGAAGATACAAATATGTAACAGAATTTATTAAGCGATTCCAGTGCTTTGATTCAGGGTGGAGTTTAAGTCACATGGTGTCGTATGAAGTGATATATGCACTCTTTAATGAAATTGCAGTACTAGAGACATGCAGTACAACGAAGACGACGGCACCGTGCGTATGTACCTGCGAGGACGACCCGTCGTTCTCTACGTCCCGACGTCCTACGCGGAGACGTACGACCTGCATAAAGTCAGCACGCCGCCACAAAATAAATTGAAACTGGACTGGGTGTACGGGTACCGAGGCAGGGATTGCCGCAGCAATCTTCATCTACTGCCGACCGGTGAAATCGTCTACTTCGTCGCTGCGGTCGTCGTTTTGCATAATATGGAAGAGCACAGCCAAAGGCACTATTTGGGCCACACGGATGACATCAAATGGTATCGATCTCAGAATTTTTAATAATTACAAATTACTTTAGAATGATTTTATAATTGGAATATATGAAGAGTGAGATTTGTGTTTTTCAGCATAGCGATTCATCCGAATAAAATGGTCGTTGCCACTGGCCAAGTCTGTGGAACCGATAGGCGCGATGCAATGGTACGCAAAAACATAGTATTATAATTCATAAGCTTCATATCGAAGTCCTACACTTTCCTAATTTTTAATTTTAACAATAAGTGCAACGCATTCTTTCAAACTTTTTTATTGAGAAATCTAAACGCATTTTATTAATTATTATTCTGTGTGTGTAAACAATTTTTCTACAGCCGCATATTAGGATATGGAACTCGGTGAGCTTGGCGACGGTCTGCGTGATCGGCAACGGCGAATTCGACGGTTCGATTTGCTGTTTGTCGTTCTCGAAAGCGGACGGCGGTAATTACCTGTGCGCAATCGACGAGACTTCCGATCACAATATTTCAATTTGGGACTGGCAAAAGAGCGAACGCGGCACCAAAGTCACGGAAACTAAGGTACGTGTATTTTAAGTTTCTAAATTATTCGATTGTAATTATTGTACAGTTCAGTGTTATATTTAATATTTAATATTACGTATCACACAGTACTTGTTATATTATAAGCAGTTTGCTTTTTAATTGTTGACTGTAGTGTAGCGTGGACACGGTGGTGTGCGCTGAATGGCATCCCCTGGAGAGGAACCAGATCGTGTCCTGCGGAAAGGGACACGTATCCTTCTGGTCTCTAGATAACGGCGGTATGCTTTATAAACGCATGGGAGTTTTTGAGAGTAGAGAGAAGCCGAGGTACGTGACTTGCGTGGCGTTCAACCAAAACGGTGACGTCCTCACCGGGGATAGTAACGGGAACATAATCGTTTGGGGCAGGGGTAAGCATTAAATAACATTTTTCCACTTTTATTAACTCTATCTTATTTTTTATACTATCACATTTGTCATTCTGTAATTGATGTAATTTTACAAAGTCTTTTATCTGCAGTCTAATATTGGGAATACTTTTTCGTCTGCAGGGACGAATACGATTTCGAAAATCGTGAGGAACATTCACGAGGGGTCGATATTCTCGATTTGCGTTCTGAAGGACAGTTTCATCGTCACTGGTGGCGGTAAAGATGGTAGAATATTATATTTCGACGAGTCCCTAAACCTGACTGGAGAACAAGCACAGGTACATTTTAATTTTATACAAAATTGACTGCTTGACACAATTAATAAATAATTTGAAGGAAGCTCTACTACGAATTTTATTTTTATAAGTTCAAATACAAGACTCTTTTCAGTTCTTAAATAAAATATATTGTTTATCTTATCGGGGATATACTATCCTTTAGTTTAGTTATCAAATGGAATATATTATTTATCAGATTGAAGATCATTTCGGTGGTATCCGAACGCTTGCGGAGGGCAGAGGCACGCAACTGCTGATCGGCACGACGAGGAATTGCATCCTGGTTGGTGACGTCCGAACGGGTATAGGATTCCACCCAGCGATGCTCGGACACGCCGAAGAAGTATGGGGACTCGCGATGCATCCGACCTTGTCACAGTTCGCCACGGCTGGCCATGACAGACTGTTGCAAATGTGGGACAGCCTGAGCCACACTGTCGTATGGAGCAAGGATATCGGGGTTGGTATCACGCATTTCTATGTCAAATAGATCAGAGTGCACTTTGTGACAATTAAATCAGGATATTTATTATCGTGTAGGAACAAGCGCAGAGCATTGGGTTCTCGCCGGACGGTAATGTGATGGTGGTTGGATGCACTTCTGGTAAATGGTTGGCGATCGACAGTGAAACCAGGGAACTGTACACTCATCACACTGACGGATCAGAGCCTATTCAGGTATGAAACAATAACTTCTGTGCTTTTGCATAATGAATGCATTGTTTAAAATTTATGCGACACGACCATTGCAGTTAGCATGAATAGGACAATAAAATATGATTCATGATTCATTTTCAGGTTGTTCGATTTTCACCTAACGGTACGCTGTTGGCCTTGGGCTCCAGGGACAATTATATCTACGTTTATCAGGTGAACGAAGATGCCACCAAGTACAGTAGAGTCGGAAGGTGCATGGTAAGATTTACTTTTCACGTTGAACTCATTTCTCATGATTTCGATATAATAATGAAATTTCACCTCCATAATACGTTCATTACCATATGTATAAAATCATCCATCGATTTATCGATAGTTGGAATCTGTAACTGAATGTATTATACATATCTCATTTAGATGAAGCTAAACTTTTTGTTAAGTTAATTACGTAAAATTGAATGTCCCTGAGATGGAGAATGAGTACATAGCTTAAAATATTTAGAATAGAAAATTAATGTAATCGGTGTGTTTTTTTTCCATTTTCATTTCAAGCCAAAACGGATCCGCAGGCGTAGAGTAAGATCGTAATACGTCTCTAGTTGCTCGATAGTAAAAGCGAAAGACAACTGCTTTTGTACATACAGAATGGAGCATTTATAATAAAGAATAATTTAAGATGAAAACGAATTAATAAAATGAGTTAGAAATATTCTCATTTAAATGCTCCATTCTCTATAATACATATTTTAGTGCTTACGTCGAGCACGGCACGGTAGTATTAACAATTACTCTGCACAAAATGTCTATACGCTCCTTTCATACCAAGCAATGAAAATTATCAAATTATTCGAATCCTTTGCAATAAATGCTTCGAACCGTAAAATTATGTATTTACAGTCCGTCAGAAAAGCAAATTGGCAATTTATAATATTCATGTTACTTTTAATTTGGTATCACCGACGTGATAAAATTCTATTAAAATATCATTAACGACTCTTTTGACTGACTGTAATTGCAATTTTTGTACAGAATATTTATAAGTAGAATTTCATTCTGTTCCCCACAAAATGAAATTCGTAATATTACATTTCGTACGGTTTTGTTTAATTTGATTTCAGGGACATTCCAGCTTTATAACGCATTTGGACTGGTCGGTGGACGGTCAATACCTGCGTAGCAACAGTGGAGATTATGAATTATTATACTGTAAGTACTTGTTAGATAAAAAAAAACTGACAAATCGATAAGTTGCAAAAATAATTAAAAACAATAGCTAGTTTCTATTATTATCCAAATCATAGTAAATGTTAGAGAACAAAGTTAATAATTCTTATGTACTTCGTATCTGCACGATTGCCAAACTTTCACAGTAATAATAACAATAATAATAATAAATTAATAAATTAATAAATAAACGACAGACAAATCTCTATTAATTTTTTTTTTTATTTCTCATTTGAATCTTTGGCATTAATATTGTTAAAGGGAACGCTGGAGTCTGTCGTCAAATCCCGCAGTCGTCGATGATGAGGGACGTCGAATGGGCCAGCCATACATGCGTGATATCGTTCGAAACGATTGGGATATGGCCCGAGGGCGCGGATGGCACGGATGTGAACAATTGCTCGCGTAGCAGCGATTCGAAACTGCTTGCAACCGGCGACGATTTCGGAAAGGTCAAGCTATTTACGTATCCCGCCTGTCAACCCAAGGTAACACATAGTAAAAGTATCACATATCTAATGTCACTGTGTAAACGTCAACTCTGCTTGAAATTTGCATTTCTATTTACTAGATTTAAAAAAAAAAACTGCAGTGAAATTTTCGGTCAGAGAAAGATTCTTAATGTTACATTTTATATCAGGGGTTAAAACCAAAGGGGACCGAAAAAATGCCATAATTCTTATTAGTTCGCTTGTATCGATCCTATCATTGTTATTTCTGATTCACCTTGTACGTATTAAACAATGGAAGGAACTGGTTAAGAAAAGATTGAAAAATAATAATAAATTTGTTCGTTTCAGTCGCTGTGTCATACGTACGGTGGCCATTCGAGCCACGTGATGAACGTCTCGTTCCTTCAGGACGACACCAGGTTAATCTCGATCGGCGGCAGCGATACCAGTGTCCTCCAATGGATCGTCAATTACTAATTATTAAATGTAATTAATAACTCGGTACGTGACCAATTCTTCGCGGGGAGGAACGAGGTTCGTGCATATGAAATATTATACATCAGCTTCTTAAATGCATAGAACGATTTTCATAAGATAAAAACGAAACGAATAAAATCGAAATTAACGACATTACAATTTTGGTATTTATGGACGAGGAAGTTGGACGACGAGTTATGCCAAAGCTGACAGAGTATATTTTGGCTACATGCGCCTTAAGGATATAAGGTTTCTATTATTGAAATTAAGAGAATTTGATATTTCCTATGCACCGACTTGTAATATCTCGGAACTCTGAGACCTCTGAGGAAATGCATAATGTAGGCGAGAAGTGTGCCACAGTGATTTAACGAGTATTGCTGTGTAGCGTAATTCTGCTGTAACCGATGGTACAACGCTGTAAACTCTAAACAAAGTATAATTTCGTACGATGAATTTTACGGGAGAATCGTTGTATAAATTAACTAATCGATAGACTGGGGATTCCCGTGCGATTGCCAAAGGTACGACTACGGGATGTACATAATTTTTTAGAAAAATTGTACAAAACCTCCGAGGCGTAGTGAATTTATTATTTAGAATCGAACGAGCGAAGGAATCAATTTAATTTCTTAAGTGTAACAATATTTTCTTTTAATTGTCAATCCGCATCCGGATCCGCAGTCTATTCACTTTCTCGGTGTAACAAATTCTTCAACGTTCTGCGATGAAAGTATAATGACATAATAAATTTTGATCTTCTTAATTCGTCGTTCTTTCATTCGTACTTATTCTTTAATGGTTTCGATGTTCATTTTCAAGCGACACGGGCTAAGCATCGGTCCGATTATTTTCATAGCTATAGTCGATCAACGAATCAAAATTATTTTCTTTTGCGAATCATGTCGTTTAAGACTATAATTTATTATCTGATAATCTGTATTAATATTGTATATGTTTATTGAATATCCAACATTATGGATGTGTATATATCCCTTATTCCATATAAACATTCCACATTCACTGTTAATATTGAGTATCCGTGTTCACAAAAGGAGGAACGTGTTTGGAAAAGAGGATGCTGATGAAGCACGGGTGAACCTGGTGGCCAAACTGTGGCGTCACGCGCAAATTCAATGCCTTACACGTCTATATAATTATTATACTTTTCTTAAATCACTTTTAAATACGATCATAGAATATACAAAATCAATTCGAAATACGCTTGGTACACGAATGATCGTTCTGATAAAATGGCAGTGGACTAATTTACGTGGGTCATTCAACGAGTATGTGTGTATTCATATTGAATATTGCAGATTAATATTAATTTAACGTCTCTGTTCGCGTCTGTCCGTCATTGTAGAGAAATGCCATAGACAATTATGTGTATAAATGTAGTATATGAATAAAGTTCTATATGAATGAAGTTGTGTCGAAGCGACGAGATTCTGCGGCTAATACGGCTGAACGCCATTTAACATTTTCCAGTTAGCGGGAAAAGCTATATTCTGTGTAATTACCGTCACGATCCTCTATGGTTTTCCTCGTACAACAATTTATACGCCACGTACAGGGTGAGTTAATGAAAACCGAAATACCACGTGTCATACGTGTCGCACGTTCAGTTTTAATTAAAACTTCAATTTACGTGCACATTATTTATTCATCTATCGCATGTATTCATTAATTTCGTTATTCCATTTATCTGAATAACAGTGACAAACATTTGAACGATTAACCGTATGAAAATGTAAAGAAATATTTAAGATCGTCCATTGCTGCTGCACAACAATAATAATTCGTCGAAATCGAGAACCAACGGCAACGAATTCCTGCAGACGTCCTGGTAAAATCGTTAAACGAGTTATCGTACTTTTTTTTATTGAATCTCTCGGCACGTGAAGAGGAACGAAATGCGATGAATAATTTGAGACTGAGCTATTGACTCACCCTGTGTATCGTCCACGGCGGAAAGGTGGAATGGGAGTTAATAAAAATAGCGTACGCCCTTCCCCTCGGCTTTGCCAGACTATCGATTTATGGAATTTGAACGGTGTAAATATGGCGTGCCTATCACAGAGTAATTTTACACAGGAGTAACTCTTTGTCGGTGCTTCTTGTCCACTTTCTTGTACAACACGTACCCAAATATATCTCCATTAATTAATCATCAGCCTGAATACTTGGATTGGAGTATTCAACATTCGTAGAACCCCATAAATTCTATTATTTTTGGAAACACAACGAGAACTCTGTACTTTTGTACAACGAACAAAAATGGTTATATGTGTAATAGAATGAGGAAGGACCTCGTGATAATATTCGTTTAATCGTGCCTGAGGGACGAAAGAGGCAAGGTGCTCCTCGCAGGAACCACGATTTGGCTACCAGTGTATAAAATAATAACGACAGCTTATATATTTAATGTTTCTTCACGAATTACATACATACATACAGTGTTTCTCAACGTTATGCATACATACAATGTTTCCAAGTGTTATATATACATGCAGGTGTTCCTCAATGTTATACATACATACATACAGCGTTTCCTTTGCCGAGACCCGCTCGCAGGAATGTGATACATATATACATACATATTTCTTGGCGTATATGCATACTTAATCGACCGTTTTCAGGTGTTCTTCACCCTTCGTAGAAAAGAACTATTACTCGACAAATTTGTTTTTTTTTTTTTCTTTTTTTTTTCGTTATTATATCTTCGAATCGTTCGCAATTTCTTGTGTTCGATTAATGGACTGCGGACTTTCATGCAATTAAATTATTAACACTGAACCTACCGACACTTCTGCACCTGTTCCCATTTCCGGTCGAAATTACCGGTCCTCAAAAAATTATTGTTTTTATAATTAAACAATGAATTCATAAGTGAACGATTTTCATAAATTAACAAACGGTATATAATTTTAATTATAAACTTGAACAGAGAATTACGAATGAAATGTCAGTCGTAGGAAAGTTTGAAAACGATCAACCTGACCGGTGCATGGTAGGTTTAGTGTTAAATAATAAGACAGAGAAAAATAGAGAGAGAAAGAGAGAGAGAGAGAGAGATATTCAAGTTCGAATATTGCAACACATAATTATATGCATATTTGATATTTAATAGTACTTCGAATGTATATATTATGAAAATACGTATTTAAATTTATAATTTGTATACATTCAATGGTTCGCTTCATTCTGTTTGTGCATAAAAATCTGCAGTTTGTTTATTAACGATGGTTGATCCTTTTTCGCTCGAGTTCTTTTTATTCGCTAATTATTATATGATTAGGGGCACCGGAAGGTAGTGTCGTTTCTTTAGTAAATTTGTAAATTGTCAATTTAGTTAGCACGACGAATTAATTAATTGACTATAGGTGGTGACATTGAAGGTGTTATCTAAATCCAATGTGGTTCGAAATTAAAGGGGCTCTCGATTCGACTCGCTGCGTCGGTGGTCTGGATGAAAATGTGTCAGACACTTGTGTGGCGAACGGCGAGGGAACGTGATTCCGGTACTTCTAACAGTTTTCTAAGCACATTCAATATTTCTTTGTATCAATCTGAACGATTTTCTTCAATAAGAAGAGGAGAGGTTTGGCCACCGTTTGGTATGTTCATTTGTTAATTTACAAAATATCAATTCTTCCTCGTCAATCTCAAGGCGATATTTGACGAGTGGAATTAAAAAATGCGTTTCGTCGGCTCCAGAAGTTCGCGTTTGCGAAATTAATCCCAGTTATTACGAACTAGTTTGGCACCGTGCTGGACTCTGTTCATAATTCGATTGGTCTGCGTTTGAAATTTCACTCAAATCTGAATCGCTACGTTGGCAAAACTAATCGCGGCCCGCGTTCAGGGTTCTTCCAACACTAGTTTGGCACCGTATTGGCTTGCGCCTCGACCACAGAACTCAACATGACGTGAAGTTAATTTACGAAGTTGCTACATATACGTATAACTTTGTGTATCGATCGATCAGATCGCTTGACAAAAATTGACATTCTCAAATTCCGTGAAAATTATGCTTTAAGGATGTATTGGCTATACAGTCAATCCCAAAAGTTTATGTACCTTAGAAAAACGCATTTCCTATAATTAAAAATAGTGCATTCTTCTTCCAATTTCGATATTTAACGAGTTAAGTATGATTATTTGGCATTTTATTGATGTTGACAAAATTCGACCATCCCAGCGTCGAAACGGCGAACTTTTGGAAAAAAATTTCGTTTTTCCTCAATAACTCCTAAACTATAGGTCTTACGGGAAAATTGCATAGAACCTTTCTTGTAGAGGACGACGAGATCTACAANAGCGTTTCTAAAGTGCATAAACTTTAGAGGTTGACTATATAGCCAATACATCCTTAATTAATCATAAGAAAAATTGAATTAATAATTCGAATCAAATTCCGACGGCTTGCGTCGAGGAACTCAATACGACGTCAAACTGATTTAAGAAACACACTGCGAACAGTTTCAATCAATTCTACCAGCCGAAGACTTGACAAGAAGCATTTTTAAATTCCACGAAAAATACATTCATCTTTTGACTAATATCAAAAGATCATAGGGTATAGTGATAAATCGGTGCCCTGAAAGCCGATCGCTTCGCGCGAAGTTTCGGTATTGACAAGTTCGACAATTTTTATTAAATTATAGATATCTACGATTGGTTCCTTACTAGGATTTAGCGGTGTCCGCGCTCTGCGCTTTGTCATTCTGGCTCTGAGCCTTGTCAAATCCGTCGATCAGCGTCTCGATGATGAACTTGATCGTTATCTTGTATATACTCTCGACGTTGTCCGAGTAACGGTCGTCCAGCGTTCGTTTCACCGCTTGCAGGAACGGTTGCTCGATTTTCTGGAACAAATTTGCGTACAACATTCGCAGACGCGCTAGATATCTACAGTTCCGTTCTAACCGAGTACAGCCTCCATCTTACACTTCAACGAAACGATCAAACGATTATTCTTATTGTATTATTAATAATATTTAAATAAACAGATCGATACTGATATTGTTAGAGTCGGAGCCAATTGCTCGTTAAAACAATAAAACGATGACAATATGAATATAATAATAGGTGAAGTTTTATATATTTCCATAAGACCATGAACGATGTACGGTATACAATAAATATAGATTATAGGGTAATCCTGAAGAGTAAAGTTGCTCACCCAAAAGTATTGTGGATTGAAGCCGGGGATTTTGGTGTGCGTGGCTCCGACTTGGTGAAGACAGGTGAGGACCACGTCCATGTCGTCGAGTCCCTTGATCCCTTCGTCCAACGCGGTCATCACCTTCTCCGCGTGTTTACCTAACTCCACCATGTCGTACGGTTCCTCCTTCGATTTCAGATCGAGAAACCGTGAGAACATTTGTATCAATTCCTCGTTCTCCTCAAACAGCCTACAAATACATATAAAAAAAATGTATGAATTACCTCGTTGCAAAAATAATTATCGATATGAATCTATTATAGTTATACAAAAATATTTAGTAAGAATTTCTTGTAATAGTTTAATCAACATTTATACATTTGTATATGTACTGTTTAATAAATATTTTTACATAAATTTTATTATGTAAGTGTTTGTCCAGAAAATGTTAAAAGCCAGAATGGTGCGAGTCACCACTTTGTGACTTGCATTGTTTTCTTAAACCGTAAATGGTAATACGGTCAAAGAAACCGTGGAAGTAAGTCCTAACTCATCTCCTTCGCAGGCTGACAGCGGGACAATGTAGGCACGTTAACAGAACAGCTGTACAATTTCCGGGACTCTCCCATTCTGAAGACTGACTTACCCCGACTTGCAAGGTTCGCCCGTTAAAATGTATCCGACACAATTGTGCACAGAGATTAATTAAAAATTTTCTACAACCGATCGTTAAAAAATTCATGTTAAATCGTACGCGAGCGTTGGTAATGATCTCAAGGGTTGGAGAGACCCGTTTGATTGTTCGTTGAAAGAAAGGAGGGAAGGAAAAGAAGGAATGTAGGATAGAAACTCATTTCCACGTTGATTCGTCTCGAAACAACGCAGTATTTTTGCGCTCGACTGCCGTGAATAGTCGGAAAATGCCAATACGAGGAAGTCCATTGTCCGTTAACAACCGAATAAGGTCGGAAAAGCAACGATCCCTCCCACCCCACCACCGCTGTGCGTTTCAGCGTCAGAACTTTTGAGACTCGAGATAGAGGGTACGTTCATATTGAGAAAATAAAAAAGAGTGTCGTATACAGATATAGCGGACGGCTTAAATGTTTGACCAAAGGATATAGAACGTGTTCGTAAAAGACGTTTCGAACCGGATCGGGGCTTTTAAATTTAGAATAAGGACGATCCGTCGGTCGCGACACGTGATAAGATAAATTTTCAGAAAAACGGGGGCGAAAAGCTAGACGACGAGGGTAGATCGATTTTCGCTTTGTACAATTAATCGTCAGACAGTAATTACGTTCTCCTCCGCCGATACCGAACAATGAACGAAATTCCACTTGCGAATCGTTTTTTAGCTCTCTCCCTTTGTCTTCGCTCCCTCTCGCCCGTACCCCCCACCCCCCTACCATCCTATTTTCTATCTTTACCTGTCCGCTTGTTACTGAAATTACGAGATCGCCGATAGTAGGTATTGATGCACTCACGGCGTAAGTAGAGCGTGCGGGACGTGCCCACAAAGGGTTCTCTGCTTCAAATAATTCCTTGTGGACCAACTGGATAACCGGCGAAATTCAACCCTCCGCGAGCCAATAATAATCAGCTCAAGGAAAAACAATTCACGGTTCAGGATAAAAGGCCCAATTACCCGAGGTTTAATTTCATTGAAACTCTGCCAATTCTTTTCGAACGGCAACATTTTTGTTCCGTATTAACTTTCATTTATACGTGTTAATTTAAAACAGCGATGTTTCAACTCGAAACGAACATAACAGCTATTATTCAATTTCACTGAATCCTTCTGTCAATTATTTTTCAATAGCGATATTTGCGTTCAACGATAAACCGTAATATTCGTGCGTTTTTATATAAAATACGTGAAGGGATTTTATTTTTATAGCATTATTTAACACGTCTTCGAAATATGCAATTTACATTTTCATTATTGTGAAGATACTTTATGTCCACTGCACGCTCAGTTTCTCTATAAGTGCATTGGATCCTGTCCAGTTATAAATGTCAATGTTGAAACCTCATTCGTCTAAACTTCTCTTATCTGAACGAAGTTCCATTTCAGCTTTGATGTACCAGAAATCTATCTGATGGAATTTATTGTACGAACTTTCGTAGTTACATGAAGTTCTATCTCGAAGGAAAGAAAAGCGATGGAACTGTATCGCCATTGTCTAAATTATCTTGTCGTACGATCTGTCTCTCAGATTCGTAGACATGTACAGATTGGCATAAATGCAGTTTACATTGTTACGTGAATTGTAACGTTTCAACATGAAATATCTTGAATATGATTCCAGTAGAAAGTACAATATTACATAATGAGGTACTTTTATAAAAAATCATGGGACTTAACACTAGAAAGACTGAAACTTAGTATATACCTATATTGCCCAAAGCA